GTGTGTCCTATTGCTAAATTGCTTGGGTTTGAGGCCCAAGTGATTGTCAAGAAACAACAGAAGGAATAATTGGTGTTTGACTTTTTTTTTTAAGATGGTATTTTTTTTTTTTTTTTAAGTAATCTCTACCGCCAACAGGGGGCTCGAACTTGCTCACAACTGATCAAGAGTCAGTGCTCTACCAGCTGAGCCAGCCAGGCACCCCAGTGTTTGACTTTTTTATTTTGAGATACCAAGAACTTAACCATAGCTCCTAGAATAGAGGGGTTGTCAAAGAAATAACAGAATGAATAAATAGTGTTGGACTTTTTTTGTTGTTCTCCATGGTGCCTGGAATAATGTTAGGCACGGATGAGATGTTGTTCAATAAATACTTATTGAATTACTAGGAACACGTTATGTTTTTAAATACACTTCAGAGAAGGGATTAATCAGGGCTTGGAAAGTGTGGGTTGAAAGAGAATTCAGGGCACTACTGGGTGGCTCAGTCATTGGGCGTCTGCCTTCGGCTCAGGTCGTGATCCCAGGGTCCTGGGATCGAGCCCCGCATCAGGCTCACTGCTCAGCAGGAAGCCTGCTTCTCCCTCTCCCACTCCCCCTGCTCGTGTTCCCTCTCTCGCTGTCTTTCTCTGTTAAATAAATAAATAAAATCTAAAAAAAAAAAAAAGAATTCAGGTAGACCTGCATAGTCTCTGGGATGGTATTGAAGCTGTCCTCCTCTCCAGATGGCTTCTTTTTAAAATTCCAGATGAGACAGGGCACCTGGATGGTGTGGTCAGTTGGTTGTCTGACTCTTGGTTTCACCTCGGGTCATGATCTCAGAGTTATGAGATCGAGCCCCGTGGCAGGCTCCACACTCGGTGCAGAGTCTGCTGAAGTATCTCTCTGCCCCTCCCCTTGCTTGCTCGTGCTCGCTCACTCTTTCTCTCTAAAATAAATAAATAAATAAATCTTTAAAATAAAATAAAATAAAAATCCAGATGAGGGAGAAAGCTCCCTGACACTGAAGCCGGGTTTCTGCATTTGGGAGATTAAGGTAGAAGCGTCTGCATAGCCCAAGGACAGCGCTGTGCACATCACATGTGAACGTTCCATGAAGAGATGGGCAAAAGCCCAATTTAATTACTGAGATGGTTGTGATGATAATCCCATTTTTCTCATCCAGTTCACAGTCTAGGAAGGGCCCGAATCCAAACAGGGTATTTTTCCTTTCCCTGAGGGATCCAGATATTTCCCTGTCTCATTATAGCTGTGTGGAAAATCTGAAGTAAGCTGTTCATTGAACTATTTTCGGTGTAATACACAAGATAACTGTGATTGGCAGATAGGATGCCACCAGAGATTGACTGTAGTTGTATTAGACATATGATGCCAACTAATTAAGTGGAAATTTTTTTTGAATAAAGAACCCAAATACTCAGATTTCCTCTTGCTTATTCAAATTCTATCCCTTTTCGCTTCAGCATATCCTCTTCCTGACAGTGTTTTCACCTTAATACGTATGTGAGGCGGCTGTTGGCAGTGCTGGGATCTGTCGGTGGTGGGTGGTATCTAGCCACTGACATAAGCATCTCAAAGTATTAAGGAGAAGTGGAATAGAATTGTTACTGGGGGGGCTATTTTCACCAGAGTCACAGGATGATGGCTTGGGTACCGTGATCCATTGTTGGGCCCTCCGCTTTGCAACTCTGTATGTTGTTTTTTCAGCGTACTTGGAGTTGACGGAGTTTTAAAGGATTGACTCACAGTGGTCATACTTGCTAGAGATTAACTGATGTAAATTAATTAATTTACAATATGAGTTATTAACTGCCAAGTGGTACAGTATTTGAACTGACCACTCAGTGCATTTTGTTGCTTTAGGACAGACTGTTGAGTGAACGTGGAATCAGAGCAGAGAGACGGTGGGTAGAGAGGATAGATTTGTAGGGTGATCTTACTAACTGGCATCATCCAAGTTTGGCAGCCTGATTTCTCCTGTAGAAATGCACCTGTCAAGGGGACGAGAATCCCGGATAGACCTGGTTAGACCACCGTTTTGCCATCACAGTCTTGGAGGCAACACGTATTGATTTTCCTTTTCTAGACTCCATGCAGGCTACCCATACTCTTTTGTTCCCATAGTCTTTCTTCAGACACTTTAGTAATATTTAGTAGTCTTCAGCTTTCTTGTATACTTAATGGAGTGTTAAAGTTCCTGGCCCTGTGGTTTTCTGAATTTAGAGTATCTTCACCAGATACTTAATCTTATCTACCAGGAGTTGAGTTTGTAAATTGTATTCAGAGACTTGGAAATGCCTTGTTGACTGCCCCCCTTGTACTGACCACCAGAGAGGATACTCCTTTCACAGTGCCACACTGATGGAGACAGCTGAGAGACAGGTGTTCTACTGACATGCCTGTGCCTTCCCTGCCCAAAACACCTGGCCCCAAAATTGTGCTGGGCATGCTGTTTTATTTATTTTTAGAAAAGATTTTATTTGGGGCGCCTGGGTGGCTCAGTCGTTAAGCATCTACCTTTGGCGCAGGTCATGATCCCAGGGTCCTGGGATCGAGCCCCGCATCGGGCTCCCTGCACAGAGGGAAGCCTGCTTCTCCCTCTCCCACTCCCTCTGCTTGTGTTCCCTCTCTCGCTGTGTCTCTCTCTGTCAAAAAAAGATTTTATTTATTTATTTGACAGAGAGAGAGGGAGAGCAGAAGCAGGGGGAATGGGAGAGGGAGAAGCAGGCTCCCCACTGAGCAGAGAGCCTGATGTGGGGCTTGATCCCAGGACCCTGGAATCATGACCTGAGCCAAAGGTAGACGCTTAACCAGACTGAGCCACTCAGGCGCCCCAGCATGCTGTTTTATTTTGATAGAAAGGAAATGCACGTTCCTTAGGCACATTACCTACATCACTTTATTTAATCCTTATAATGACCCTACGAGAAAGTTATTGTTCTATTTCAAATATGGGGAAGATGGGGTGCAAGAACTTAGATAATTTATTTGCCTGTGGTTACATTCCTGGTAAATACCTCCTCTCAAATGCATGTCTCTCTGATTCAAAGGCTTATTCTTTTATTGATAAAGGTTATTTTGTAGCTTTCATTATAAAAGTAAAATATGTTCATTATTTAAAGTCTGAAGAAAAGTAAAAAGAAAACTATCCATAGTCCCACTCCAGGAGAGACAACCATTGTTGATTTTAGCTCAAACTTGTTTGTTTATACTACACACTGTTTTGAATTTACTAATTAAGTAAGTTTGCTGTCAAAAAAGTAGTGTGTCTCAGAATTCTAGGTGGGCCTTACCCCAAAATACATTTGTTTATTTTTTTTAATATTTGTTTATTGTTTTATTTTTACACTAAGTGATTATTAATTAAACATGTTAAGTGTCCAGCATGTGACCAGCACAGCACTAGGTGTACTGGGTGATGTATGGAAGCTCTGTGGTCACTGAGTCTCAGAGTTGGAAGTTATTTCTTCCACAACATCCCCACTTCTGCTTGAACATGCCACGTGGATGAGTTCTCCCTCGTAGGGACTGCTCTTGAATTTTAGATCATTCTGATTATTAAGATGTGGGACTGGCTCCTCAGGAAACCTACAGTCTAGGGGAGATAAGATCAAATGTATGATAAAAGCCAGTAATTGAAGATAACATTTAATGTTATGTGGGAGTAGGAATTGAATGAAGACCATCATCCATACAAGGAAGAGCAAACAGAACTCTGTTGCGCATAGCCTTGTGTTTGGACGAGGTGCTTTACTTATAATCTCATTGGTTATCACAGCAATCCTGAGAAAAGGTAGTAGGTATTATTCCCACTTCACAGATGTTATGGCTGAGGTCCAGCTAACAGTTGGTGAAGTTGAGATTCAAGCCCAGGTCTGCATGGAACCAAAGGCATGCACTTACTTCTCTCCCACACTGCCCTCTCTCTAAAGTAGTTCCTGTGCTAGATTTGGGGGGGGGGTTCATAAAATAACTGTTTATTTTCTTATAAAAATGCACATGACATAGAAAATTTGGAAAATAGAAATATCACCTCTAATGCTACCACTTAGAGATACCTGTGATGACTAGTTTGGTGTCTTTCTGCTTCACCTTATTTACTCTCACATACGTATATGCGTTTGTCACATACCTTATGTGTACATATGTGTATATCTGTATATATGACTATATACTTAGGTATTCAGTATATCTTTTATACAAAACCACTTTTATATTATTTTGTTTGTGTTCTTTTTCTTTTCATAAAATATGATCATTTTCCAATGTCATTAAGAAATTTTTAAAGCATACCCTTTTAAGTCCTACAGAGAATTCTACCATGTGTATGTGCTCTTACTTTGTAACCAATCAATCCCTTATTAGAGTTGAAGCTCTGTAATTTTTGCTGTAATGTGTATCATATTTTTTAAGATTATTTATTTAGAGAGAGAGAGCACAAGCAGGGGGAGTGGCAGAGGGAGAAGCAGGCTCCCCGCAGAGCAGGGGGAGCCTGATGTGGGGCTCGATCCCAGGATCCCGGGATCATGACCTGAGCCGAAGGCAGTTGCTTAACTGACTAAGCCACCCAGGCGCCCCTGTTTATCATATTTTGATAAGCATTCTTGTATAAACATTTTTTTGCATGTATCTCTGATGGTTTCCTATCAAGTGTATGTGTGTTTTAAAACTTTTGTTCAAAACTGCCATCTGGAGGAGTTAGGTCACGTGCACTCTCACCAGTGTGCTGTTTGAGAATCCATGTTAGGTATTCTCTCCAGTACTGATAGTATCATTACAAAAAACTTTCCCTATTTGGTAGGTGAAAAATGACCTCTTTGTCGTTTCAATTTGCATTGCTTTAACTACCAAAGAGAATGAATCTGTGTTGGAGTTGTCATCTGAAGTTCTGCCAGTCTTTGATCTCCTTCTTCCTCTGAGAGCCATATGTATGAAGAAGAGGAGGGTAGAAGGCTTCATCTTATTTATACTAAAGTACTCTGTGTCCTATCTTTTGGCAGATCTCTGACATCTACATTAGTGGAGAGTCAGGGGACATGTCAGCCAAGGAGAAGCTGCTCTTGTGGACCCAGAAGGTGACAGCTGGTTACACAGGAATCAAATGTACCAATTTTTCCTCTTGCTGGAGTGATGGGAAGATGTTCAATGCACTTATTCACCGGTACAGGTAAATGCAGTAGAATTTCCCTGTGCCTGGAGGAGCTTCTCATCTTGCTTGTAATAAGTTATAATGCCACTTTTCCTCTCAGCCAAGAATCAAGACTCTGGTTCCTTTTAGTCATTGAAAAAAGGAATATATATTCAGCTCCTACTATTCTAGGCACTGGGTACAAAACAGCAACTGCTCTTGCTTTCATGGAGCTTATTTGTTTATTAGGCAACAAATAAATACATGGTGTTATATGATGGTAAGCACCATCATATAAGGGTTGGGGAAGAGAGTGATGGGGTTTGTTGTATTTTGCACAGGGTCGCTGGAGATGGCCTCTCTGATTAGGGTGTTGGAGCAGAGCTGTAAAGGAGCGAGCCATGCAGGCCTTCTAGGGTCAGAATGCTGCACTGGGAGGAAAGAGCAAGTGCAGAGGGGCTGAGGTGGGGGCTTACTTGGAGTGGATAAGGAACAGCAGGTGGCTGGAGTGAGAGGAATGAGGAAGATAGGAATTTTGATGACAAAAATCAAAATTATTGCACTGTTAGTGATCATAAACATATCCCAGTTTTCACTCTATACCAGTTTATGATACCTTTCCCATGAAATCCAGCCTACCTGCTGTGTGCCTTTAGAATGAGCGAGCACTGGGCTCCTGGCATGTAATTGAAAATGGAATTAGTACCTTTCTAAACCTCTTGCTTTCTCTCTAATGCAGTCAGCATATTCTGGCTCCAGGTACTTCTAAGAGGTTTACTTTGTGTGAACTCATATGTGATGTGTAGATGGTGGCCTTTCATGTGCCTTGGTGGACTTTTACAGACCTGATCTGGTGGATATGGAGAGGGTACAAATCCAAAGTAACCGCGAGAACTTGGAGCAGGCTTTCGAAGTGGCAGAAAGACTGGGGGTCACCCGCTTACTGGACGCCGAAGGTGAGACCTGGCTGGAGTTGAGTATGTTCGCCTTATATTCCTTGTCCTTCTCCTGGCAGCTTTGTCTATTCTGACTAAGAAACTTCTTACCGTTTCTCTCTCAGACGTGGATGTGCCATCTCCAGATGAAAAGTCGGTGATCACTTACGTGTCTTCAATTTATGATGCCTTCCCTAAAGTCCCTGAGGGTGGAGAAGGAATCAGTGCTACGGTACAAGAACGCTTCCCCAAAATGCCTTCTGACTTCCATATGTTTGGGTGGAATGTACTGATTAGACCTTATTCTCAAGCACTCACTCTAGGCAGAGCACGTTTATACAGAGCAAACTGAATCCACATCCTCTTTATATGTGGTCATTGTCTTTGGTCCCTGGGAATGAATCTAGATGCTGCTAATTTTGTAGCATCCAGCATAGACTATCTAGTGTCAGGAAATTGAATCCCCTTTTGAGAGCCCTTGAGGGGCTCTGAAACTGGGACTCGAAGCATTAGGCTGAGCAGCCGTGTAGGCAATTAGAGGAAAGGGATTTTATGTGGTTTGGGGTGCCCTAAGCTACTGTCCCCTGTGCTTGTTTTGTGTACCGCTAATCAGAGGGTGTGTGATATCTACCTTTTGGCAATAGGAAGTAGACTCCAGGTGGCAAGAATACCAAAGCCGAGTGGACTCCCTCATTCCCTGGATCAAACAGCATACAATACTGATGTCAGATAAATCTTTTCCCCAGAACCCTGTAGAACTAAAGGTAAAGTCATGGACTTAAGTTGTTTTTGTAAATTCATTCCTGGGATTAAGGCTCAGAGCTTGTTGCTGCTGGCTCCTGGGTGAGGTGGGATAAAAGGCGGGTCAGGTTGCTTACACCCATCCATTCATTTACCAAATATTAATTTTGTAGGCACTTTATAACCAATATATACACTTCAAAGAAACAGAAATTCTGGCCAAGGAGAGAGAAAAAGGAAGAATTGAGGAATTATATAAATTATTAGAGGTAAGGGAGCTTATCCTTTGCTGATTCTTGGGGTGTGGTAGTTTGCCTTATTGTTACTTCCTTGCTGGATTGCCTGTGTCCTCTTCCCAATCTGCATTAATAGCAGTGTCCTCCGGGTTACAGACAAGCCTCACTTTTAGGCTGGTCTTGAAATTTTGTGGTAAAGGTGCAGTATCAACCATCTGTATTTCTTAGAGGCTTTTGAAGAATGGCATACATTTATTCAGAAATGTCGAGTTTTGTGAATGAGTTTTCTGTTTTTCAGAAGGAAGCTAATTCTTTTGCTATGATGGGAGGGAAAGAGACTTCCATCCACATTTTGATTCCTAGAGAATTTGAAACCATAGATTTGGGCATTGGGCCTTTCTGGAAGGGGGATTATTGAGAGGACAGGAGGATTTACGGAAAACATAGAAGGAATAGAAAGATTTAGAACAGGTAGTAGTCCCTGTATTTTGGAAGTGGTTTCTCTGCTCTCACCTCAAGTTGAGGTACTGCTAAGTATTCAGTTGTTTCCTCTTATTGGACACGGGAGAAACTGCCAGTGGCGGGGTGAAGAAGCAAGAAGTGAGGTAGCAAGAACGCATAAAACTGGGCCTGAGGGCATGGCTGTATTTTTGGACTAAATGAGTGTCTCTGGGATTTTTTAGGTGTGGATCGAATTCGGCCGAATTAAACTGCCTCAAGGTTACCACCCGAATGACGTGGAGGAAGAGTGGGGAAAGCTCATCATTGAGATGCTGGAGCGAGAGAAGTCGCTTCGCCCAGCTGTGGAGAGGTGGGCCCAGGGCCTGAAGGCAACCTGATGTAACCTACCCATTTGGAGCCTGGCACATGACTATGGTTTTTATCTTATTATAGGCTGGAATTGCTGCTACAGATTGCAAACAAAATCCAGAATGGTGCTTTGAACTGTGAAGAGAAGCTGACACTAGCTAAGAATACACTGCAGGCTGTGAGTGTGTGTTGTCTCTCTCCTCATGTCACGTGTTCTCCCCTTCTCACCCTGTGCTCTAATGGTCCAGATTAATGGTTGAGAAGTCCAGCCATGTCTCTTCCTTACTCTTGGATGTGCAGTGACCCCCTTGGCTCCCTCGGTCCAGGTGGCTGGGGGCACTGGCGTTCTCCCATGCCCATTACTCCCTTTCTGTCTTAGGACGCTGCTCACCTGGAATCGGGACAGCCGGTACAGTGTGAATCAGATGTCATCATGTACATTCAGGAATGTGAAGGTCTCATTAGGCAGCTGCAGGTGGACCTCCAGATCCTACGGGATGAGAATTACTACCAGCTAGAAGAGCTGGCTTTTAGGTAAGGAACATGAGACTCTGACAGAGGGCTTGCTTACTGCTGAGGGTCACAGATCAAGAGTCAGTCTCTGAATCTTGTAACTTGGATGGGAGGTCAGTGTCTCAGTGGAGATACTACAGGTATTTGGGGCAGGAAAATTCTCATGGTGGAGAACAATTTCCCCTCACTGCAGGCCCCATCCACTAAGTACCTGTAGGATTCCCTCATCATTGTGGCATCTTATAACACCCACACATATTTCAGAGTGACCTGCCGGGATACAGTACCACATCTGGGTTAGAACTGGTGATCGAATGCATCATTTTATAGAGAAGAAAACCAAGCCCCATAGAGGGGATGAGGAGCATCTAAGTCACATAGTTTGTACAGAGCCAAGACTAAGACTCACATCTTTTGACCCCTAATCCATTGTTCATTCTGTCATACCATCCAAGAGTTATGTAAACAGATACTGGTTTGCCTCCCTCCAATTAACATTGTAATTTGGTATTTGCCTCAACAACTCTGAACGATGAAGATGTTAATACCACCTTGTGTTCATATAACACTTCTTTTTCAAAACACTTTTCCTGATATGATCTCATTTTTATTTTTATCTCATCCTTGTCAAATGGATAAGGAGTACTTTATCTTAAAAAGTGCATTACAGGGGCGCCTGGCTGGCTCAGTCAGTGGAACATGTGACTCTTGATCTCAGGGTTGTGAGTTCAAGCTGCACATTGGGAGTGGAGCCTTACTTAAAAAAAAGTGAGTTACAGATTTAAGTCCCTTCCTTTTTTCTCTTCTTGCATTTCAGGGTTATGCGCCTGCAGGATGAGCTGGTCACCTTGCGTCTAGAGTGTACAAACTTGTATCGGAAGGGCCATTTCACTTCGCTTGAATTGGCTCCACCCTCTACTTTAACCACTACTCATCTGAAAGCAGAACCCGTGACCAAGGGAACATACTCTTCCTCTACCTCCTGGTTCCGAAAGCCCATGACTCGGGCTGAACTTGTGTCTATCTCCTCCTCTGAGGATGAAGGCAATCTTCGATTTGTGTATGAACTACTGTCCTGGGTAGAAGAAATGCAGGTGGGTGTATGTTTCAAATGCTTATGCAGTGCATTCAGGTTTACTGGATCCAGCAGCTTGTCTAAGGGGGCCAGGTTGCTATATGCCCCTTGTGTAAACTCTCTTAATTATTAATGCTGCCAGGGACTCAAGCCCCCTTCTCAAATGTTAAATGGGTGGGGTCAGCTCAATCCTCAAAAATCCCACACTGAATAGCATAGGCTTTTCTGATTTGAAGCCCTTTGGGAGTCTGTTCCCTTTAGCCAACTGCTCAAAGTGGAGCTCTTGGGAGAAATTGCAGTCTATAAATCTCAGTCACCTTTTCGGAAATTTCCTCATTGGCAGAGGAGCTTATTCTTCACTCTTTGTTGTTGGTCTTACCTCTTGAGTTTAAGCAAGGCCCCCTGTGTTTCACAATTCTTAGGGGCACTATTTACATGTATTCTAGGATAGTGGGTCAAGTTTGATACTGTCCTTTTTATCCTTCTAATCCTTTTATTTTCTTTATTTTTAAGATTTTATTTATTTGAGAGAGAGAGATAGCGAGCACAAGCAGGGGGAGGGGCAGAGGGAGAGGGAGAAGCAGACTCCCACTGAGCAGGGAGCCCGATGCGGGGCTCAATCCCAGGACCCCGGGTTCACGGCCTGAGCTGAAGGCGAACACTTAACTGACTGAGCCACCCAGGTGCCCCTTCCTTTTGTTTTCTGTTAAATTCTTCCCATGCCCTGAAGGTTGACTCCCCATGTACCAATAAATAAAAACATCCAAAGATAAGCTATTTGAAAATTACTTGCCATTGGTCAATAGTTGATGCCATGAATAAAGTTTAACATTTTCAGATATTTCTTTCTTATATCCATTCTCATTGTGAAATGAAGAGCCTCCATAAAGGAAAAGGCCTAAACTATAAAGTTAATCTTCAACTGTGGAAACACTTTTCTGGTTGGTAAATTCAGGAATGTATCCCATAATGAGGCAACAGAAGGCTGCCCCTGCTATAGTAGTTGGTGTGGTCTAGTCTCCAGCTCCTTGGGGGTGACAATGGCATGTTTTCCTGTGAGAGACCATGATGGAGATGTCCTAGGTGTCCTCTTGCCCAGTCTTCAACCCTCAACCCCCTTGCCCAACATCAGTTCTGAAAATTTTCTGTGTTTGCCCTATTCAGCCAATTATATACATATTTCTTCTTTTCCAGATGAAACTGGAGCGAGCAGAGTGGGGCAATGACCTGCCTAGTGTGGAGTTGCAGCTGGAAACACAGCAGCACATCCACACCAATGTGGAAGAACTGGGCTCAAGTGTCAAAGAGGCCAGGTTGTATGAGGTTCGTGGCATTCAGAATCCATTATGGGAGGGTGTGGTGAGGTGGGGCAGGTAATGGAGTAGCTCACCAACGGTGCAGCTATTTCTGAGGAGAAGGGGGCTCTGGGGGCACCTGAGTGGCTCAGTTGGTTCAGCGTCTGACTCTTGATCTCAGCTCAGGTCTTGATCTCAGGATTGTGAGTTCAAGTTCCATGTTGGGCTCCACACTGGGTGTGGAGACTACTTAAAAACCAAACCAAACAAAAAAGACATAGGAGAAGGGGGTTCTGGAAAAGAATGATAACCATGAGCAGCACTTTACAACAAATTCCCTTTCCACATGAAGTGTCTCTTGCTCTTTGAAATACCCTTATGAGCAACGTATTTTTATTAACCCTTTTTTCTATTTTTTTTTTAAAGATTTTATTTATTTATTTGACAGAGACACAACGAGAGAGGGAACACAAGCAGGGGGCATGAGAGAGGGAGAAGCAGGCTTCCCGCTGAGCAGGGAGCCCAATGCGGGGCTCGATCCCAGGACCCTGGGATCATGACCTGAGCTGAAGGCAGATGCTTAAGGACTGAGCCACCCAGGTGCCCCTTAACCCTTTTTTCTAAAAAGAATTGAGATACTGAAAGCTAAATTCAAAATCAGTATGTAGTGGGTGCAGTTTCTAAACTCAGGCCCTCTGCTCCAAAACTTCATGCTCCTTCCACTTCACCTCCTGCCTGCAGGGAGAGCTGGTTTGGAGAAACTACTCACTCAGTCTTTCCCTGCCTCATTCTGTCCTCCCATTTGTAATTTCAACTTTTCCCTTCAAAAAAGCAATCGAGTAGTTTGGGAATCATCAGGCATAGGTTTTGCTAGAAACCTCCCAGAGTTACTGGAAGCACGAGATCTGTCAGCTGTATTCATCCCCACTGAACCGTCCCTCACCCAGTGCTGCCCCAGGCTTGGAAACCTGGCCTAGAGATTTGTTATCTCAACTAGCCAGTTCCTATCTGTGTGCAGACATAGTTGAAACCATACTGGACATAGAGTTTACTTACTTTTTCTCTAATACATCTTTATTTCATGCCTTTCTTATCAGGGAAAAATGTCCCAAAATTTCCATACCAGTTATGTTGAAACTCTTGGAAAACTGGAGACACAGTATTGTAAACTGAAGGTAAGTTTTGGCTTTTTGTTCTCTTCAGGGACAGTCCAGTTCCTTCCACACAACTGTCTTCGCTAATTCAGAAAGTTTATGGTTCAGCCCTGTTTTGGTTTTCTGTTTATTAGGTTATATCACTTACTTTGCAATTGTTCATATGTATTATAACATTTTCTCAATTTTCTTAGTGGATCAGAAACCATTGCCCCAGAAAGTTTTAATTAAGTAGAACCTGTCCTAGTTTCCGTGTTTCACCCAAGCAGTGACTATCTGTGCTTTGAGACACCAAAACTAAAAGTTTGAGATTAGTAGGAAGGAGACTCCTCTTCTGTCTCTTCTTTGTTCCTGTCTTTCGAGATTGTCCAGAGTAGGACAGGCCTTGGATCATTCTTCATTCAGGGAGCCCCACAAAAGCCTGGTGAGTTCTGAGTTCTTGCTAGGATTGACCAGGGCTCTGGGAGTCCTGTACCAAACTTGTACTAAATTTGAGTTCATGGAGAGGCACCCAGAGATGAAAAATCAAGGCTAAATTTGTTTCCTGGGTTGTTCTTTGCTTTGATGTCACATGTGCTATCTTCAACAGAGGAAAGCCTGGCAATCTAACCTTGTAATCCTTGCTTTGTCTAGGAAACTTCTAGCTTCCGGATGAGGCACCTTCAGAGCCTGCATAAGTTTGTCTCCAGAGCCACCGCTGAGTTGATCTGGTTGAATGAGAAGGAAGAGGAGGAACTAGCATATGATTGGAGTGACAACAATCCCAACATCTCAGCCAAGAGAAATTACTTCTCTGTGAGTCTTGCACAACAGACCTGTCATATTTATGTATTCGTAGAAGGAGACAGAGAGGCTAGTCTGTTGAAAGCTTGGATTTCTGGATTTGCATTCTGCGAGGTAGAAATAGGGACCTCCCTGCTTAAAGGCATCTGTGGGTGTGAGAAGTCTACATGGAGAGAGGGGAACCTGAACCCTAGAATGTATTTACTTAGAATGCATTTAGAAAGGCAGTGTCTTGGGGCGCCTGGGTGACTCAGTCAGTTAAGTACCTGCTTTTGGCTCAGGTCATGATCCTGGGATTGAGCTCTGCATCGGGCTTCCTGTTCAGTGGGGTGTCTGCTTCTCCCTCTCCCTATGCCCCTTCTCTCTCTCTCTCTCTCTCTCATTCTCTCTCTCAAATAAATTTAAAAAAAAGAAAGAAAGAAAGGCAATGTCTTGGACAAAGAGAGTTAACAGTCTGCAAGTTGAGTCATTTCAGAATAGCTTTGTGTTTGAGATGATAGGCTTTGGAGTGAAAGAGACCTGGGTTCAAATTCTTAATCCTCGGGCGCCTGGGTGGCTCAGTTGGTTGAGCGACTGCCTTCGGCTCAGGTCATGATCCTGGAGTCCCGGGATCGAGTGCCGCATGGGGCTCCCTGCTCGGCGGGGAGTCTGCTTCTCCCTCTGACCCTCCTCCCTCTCGTGCTCTCTGTCTCTCATTCTCTCTGTCTCAAATAAATAAATAAAAAATAAAGTCTTAAAAAAAAAAATTCTTAATCCTCTACGTACTGACTCTCTGACCCTGGGGAAGTTATTTAATCTCTCTGGACCTCTATATAATGGGAAGATAGTACCACTTCAAAGGGTTATGTAAAAGATTGACTAGCTAATATAGGCAAAGCACTTAGTGTAGAGTTTAGATATTGTTTAATTGAGGTATACTCTTGGCTTCTCACAAATTCTTAATTCTCTTAAATTCATTTAATAATTTTTTGGTCAAAAATCTTCATTTGTAAAATGGGAAGGGAAATTCAGCATTGAACAATGGTATAATACTTTTTATTCTTTTTCAGTGAATACAGGTAGGGTCATTTTTTGCTAAGTGTATTTCCACATCTCAGAGGTTTTTAACGATTTTGTAAACTCTATGCAAATAGGAAACTTTTTTACTAACACTTACTTTAGATACTTTTTAATTCCATTAGAGTTTAAAAAATATAAACATCTCCTGATTGGAGAATGGTATATGATTCTTCTGTAGTAAAGGAGAAAGAATAGATGTTATAACACAGAAAACAGTCTGTCCGAGAATGGGAATTAGGCTGTGGTAAAGATAAAAAGAAAGTGCTTAGGGCGCCTGGGTGGCTCAGTCATTAAGCGTCTGCCTTCGGCTCAGGTCATGATCCCAGGGTCCTGGGATCGAGCCCCACATCGGGCTCCCTGCTCCGCGGGGAGCCTGCTTCTCCCTCTCCCCCTCCCCTGCTTGTGTTCCCTCTCTCGCTGTGTCTCTCTCTGTTGAAAAAATAAATAAAATCTTTAAAAAAAAAAAAGTGTTTACAAAGAAGGGATCAGATCTGACGGCAGGAATCAGTACCCAGCTTCATAGAAGAGCTAGCATCTAAGTTGGGTCCTGTAATATTAACAGAATTTAAAGCCAGAGGGCACTGCAGGCTGATAGGACAGTCTGAGCAAAGCCCGCCAGTCAGTGATGGGGATCTAAGGGTGTGTCAGGTACCGTGTTAGGCCAGTGGGGCCGAGAACCAGCCCCGCCTGCCAAGTTATCTCTTTCCTCTGCCTCCTGTGCTCGCCCCGTGTTCCCTGCTTCCTCAGGTCTGGCCCAGGTCCCATATCTTTGTGAATCATTCTCCAATAATTCTAGCATTTTTGCTCTTCTCTGAAACCCTCTGGCATGTGCTGTTTACTCCTCTCATTTTGGCGCTCACCCTATGTTGGAGGCTCCTTTAAAGTCAGGCAGGGAACACAGCCTTTAATAGCACTTACTGCATACAACTGAATTCAATTTTCAGGAGTTGACAATGCAACTGGAGGAGAAACAGGATGTGTTTCGGTCTCTGCAAGATACAGCAGAGTTGCTGTCACTTGAGAACCACCCAGCCAAGCAGACTGTGGAGGTATGTGACTTGAGAATGTGTAGGGGTCAGGTGCTCAGAGGACGTCATCAGAGAAGCATTCAAACCCGAGACTTTGTTCTCCTGCAACACCTGGAGGAAGTGTCCATGATCATTTGTCTTGGATCCTCTCTCTTGTCATCCCAGTCCCCAAAAGACTACAAACAAAGGAGAGAATGCGATGAGAAACCAAAAGAGCTATAGACTCCTATTGAACCATATTTCTTCAAATAAGCATCCAGGCAGATCCTGTCTCCTATTGGTGTGGTGCCTTTGCCCAGAAAAGAGATAAAGTGGAGGAATCTGGGAGGGATTTATTTTATGTCCAGGTTTTGCTGATCATTTACAACTGACCCTTGAACAACATGGGTTTGAACTGTCCGGGCCCAATTATATGGGGATTTTTTTTTTTTTTTAATAAATACCATATAGTACTGTAAATGTATTTTCTCTTCCTTATGATATTTTTTAGTAACATTTTCTTTGCTGTAGCTTACTTTATTGCAAGTATATAGTATATATATATAGTATATGATATGTGTAATGCACAAAACAGGTGTTTATTGACTGTGTTATCAGTAAAGCTTCCAGTCAAAAGCAGGCTGTTAGTTACGTTTTTGGGGAGTCAGAAGTCACATGTGGATTTCTGACTGCATGGGGTTCGGTGCCCCTAGCCCCTCCATTGTTCAAGGGTCAGCTGGGGTTGCAGTTGAGCACAAGAGAGGCCTTTTCTATGTAGCCCGTGTTGGACGAAAGGCAAGCCTGTTTCTGATGGCAAGCGCTCAGCCGATGCCCGTCAGGTATCTCCGTGTATCTTGGGCTGGCCTGTCACTGGCGGAGCTGTGCTTGGAAGAGAGCATTGCACGCAGACGTTGTTAAGCCCTGCCCTTCTGTGTGTGCGTTCCGTTGCTGCAGGCTTACAGTGCCGCCGCCCAGTCCCAGTTGCAGTGGATGAAGCAGCTGTGCTTGTGTGTTGAGCAGCATGTAAAAGAGAATACTGCTTACTTTCAGGTATGTGGACTTTGTGTGTGTGTGTGTGTGTGTGTGTGCACGTTGTGTGTCTGTGTGAATGTGTGTGTGTGCGCACAACCCTGCATGGGGAAGAGGTGGGGTGAAACAGATCTCCATCAGTTAACCTGTGCTGTGTAAACCACCACCCCAAAGCACAGCTGCCTAGAACAACAATCCTTTAGCCAGCTCTTGGTCCTGTGGGTTGGTAATTGGGGCTAGGCTCCGCTGAGATGAGAAAAGATGGTTTTTCTTATCTTGCCTAGAGTATGGATGGTTGCAGGCAGCTGGCAGGCAGGCGAGGGGCTGGTGGGTCCCAAACAACATCACTTCCGTGTCAGATGGTTGGTTGGGGTGGTGGGACAAGTCCATATACAAGTCTGTAGCATCTAATAGGTTCTCCTGGGCTTCATGGAGTAGTTACGTTCCACAAACAGCCAGAGAGAGCAAGCCCCAGGGCTCAAGCCCTTTCCTCTGCTGTCACATTTATTAATGTGTCATTGGCCAAAGCAAGTCACGTGCCTATATGCCCAGCTTCAAGGGGAAAAGTAGACCCTCCCTCTTGATGGGACAAGCTGTAAAACATCAGGACCATTTTTCTTTCTTCAGTCGATCACAACATCGAGAACATACTCCTTGTTTTCAGGTGAGGGTGGCAGGAGGAAATAAGCTGTTACCTCTATTTGGGTTTGCCCTAAATGAAATAATCTTCCTGATCATTTTGTTACCTTATCAATGGATTGGAACATTTGATCATTCAACCTCTAGGCTTTTCTTGATGTCTGCCTCACAGCCAAGTGTTGTCACTAGCAGCATTTCCGAGGAGAGGAAGCCGACTGACTTTCCCATAGGGTGCCATAGGCTTTGGGGTTGTCATCACTAATATTTCCCGGACATGGCATTTTAAGCCCTTGGTTTCTACTTCTGTGGACTATGTAATGCAGCATCGGTAATCCAGGAGAGTCATCAGTTCTGCTCAGCTCTGCACGGGGAGATTGCTCTTTCTCGGTTAACATCCTTGTGTTATGATGAGTTGCACATGAGGTACCCCTCCACTCCCCACAGTTCTTCAGTGATGCACGGGACCTGGAGTCATTTTTGAAGAACCTCCAAGACTCCATCAAACGAAAATACTCCTGTGACCACAACACCAGCTTATCTCGCCTCGAGGACCTGCTCCAGGACTCCATGGTGGGTGTTGCATCAGCGGGATGATTTCTTCTGAGAAACAGAGTAAACCATCCCAGCTGCTGCTGTTTATATCCTTGAACGCTCCAGGGCAGTGGGTCATTACTATACAGTCTGGCTCATGTTCAAATAGAGTTTAACCCCAATTTTGTTTTTTTTCTTTTCTTTCTGTAAAAAAAAGTTGCTAATAAGATTCCTTTGAGCATGCTATTGAAGTAACAGCCTAGTCCTCTCCTCTTGAGCCACTTAGTGCTCAGCATACTTTCTTTGCATTGTTCCTATTTTAATTCAGTAGTTGGGACCAACTATGAGGTGTAGAGCATGAAAAATAGAGTTGAAGGGGATTAGGTGACATCAAATTCTTTTTTACTCCCTCATGCAAAGAGAATTAAAAACAAATCAATGAACTAGACCTGAGCCAAATTTTTCCTTGTCGGTAATTTTGTTTTGGTAAAATGAGATATTAGAATATTGATTTTAACTAAGGATGACATTAAAATCTTATTTAGATATCATGCAATATTTATATGTAGCAATATTAACTTAAAAAAATTTTGTATCTAGTATTTAATCCAAATCAATTTTATATTCATTTTCTCCAATGAATTATTCTTTCAGGAATGCTGATAATAAAATCAGAGCAGGACTGTTTACATGTATTGAATGTATATTACACAGAGTTGGCAAGACAAGGCTCCAACTACATCCCAAATTAAGATAGAAGAGTATGTAATAGGGAAATTATTTTTTCTATATGAGAAGCAGGGGACTCTCATTTCAGTAGAAAATTATAGGTAAGAGAACCAGAATAACCCAAAACCGTCATTTTTTTCTTGAGTGAGACTTGGGTATTTGTGAACATTAGTTGATTATTTATTGATTTATTTTTACACTTTCAGGTGTTATTAACCTGTGAATGGGTTCACATTCAGTGTTTCACCTGGGCAAATAATCTGTTAATTTAATTAACTTGGAATGAAGGATAAAAGCCTGACGTTTTAGATGTTGTCTCTAGAATGTCTCTCTTGGAGGTCCTTCAAGTATGAAGGAGGAATATAATAATCCTTGGCTATTATCTCCTCCCTTCCACAGAGTACCTTCCTGTCTTAGGGTAACTCCTCTGCAATTGTTGTCCTATCTTCTCTTCTCGAGGGTCGCTGCTCTGTTCCCTCCTCTCCAGGTCAGGGGCCTCGGGTTGGCGGCGTCATCTGGGCATGAAGTCACCTGAGTCTGCTCCTCAGCTTTTCCTCAGCTTGTCCGTCAGGTTCGGGAGCATCTGTCATGGCTTCTGGTTCTTTTCAGAACTTTTACCACGCTGAGCACTTGGTCTCTGGAACTTGAGATGTTTGGCTGTGGGTTAGACAGAAATTGACATCTTTATTGCAAGGACACGGAAATGGGTAGACCAGCTCTCAAGTATGGAACAGTGTGGCTGTCTCCCTGATATATTCCATTCCTCTTTCTTAACTAATAAGTTAAAGTTGTATTTCTTCCAATCATGCTCCCGGGGACAGGCACAGGTAGTTTATTTAAGCATTTCTTTTTCTTTACTTGCATATTCTTAATTCTTTAATGGCATTTCTTAACATTATTAACTCTTTACTCTCATCACATCTACTTCCATCCTAAGAAAGCCCTCTTCTAAGGACTTTTTATACCTCAAAATGGGCTTGACACATCCTGGTAATACATGAAAGTTATCTTTTACTCTCTAACACAATTGGTAGTAGATTGCTACCAATTTTGTGGGCAAGAAGTTCATTAGTTTTTAAGATAATGGGGTTTGCAGAGACTTGAGAGCTTCAATTTTGCATGATACTTCTTTCAAATTAGTCAAATTTACGTGACTGTGGCACAGCAAGACACGAAAAGGTAAATCCTAAATCATTTGTAATGATGTCTTCACCAACAGCATCAGTTTATAAATTGTTGGTGGAAGAGCTAAGATCTTTCTCTACAAAGTTTGACTCAATTTAAGAAAGTAAAATATTAATAGTAGAGCTTGGGAGGTATAATTATTTAAAAATTTCTTAAAGAGCGCAATTCTGGCTTCTCCTAAGCAGAAGGCAAGAACTGGCTTCTACCAGTAAGAAAGCGAATAATAATAATAATAATAATAGCAACAGCAATGTTGTTATTATTGTTCTTAAACTTCCATGCTTTCTGAACCTTATTTGGGGAAATCCTGTGTTAGCTGTGTTTATCTGTATTTGGCAGCTGGCAATTCTTTTTGTTTTATGTTTTTATTATTTTTGCATGTGGCTTCATGATTCATTGAAAAGGGCACAAGGAGAAAGCTGAACAATTTGAGTACAAAAGCACTTGGTAGAAGACAAATATCCTCTCCTTGTTTCTTTATCTTTGTATTTCTAAGATGGCTCCACCATGGGTCCCTGCTTAACTGAGAAATGACATTCTCTGAGGGAGTGGAGCACTCAGTCTTCTTTGTTGACTCAGTCACCCTGAGTAGCAACATTAATGTCTTCTTGTGTTTCTTCTCACTTTGTAGGATGAAAAGGAGCAGCTTATACAGTCCAAGAGTTCCGTTGCCAGTCTTGTTGGGAGATCAAAAACCATTGTTCAGCTAAAGCCACGAAGTCCCGACCACGTGCTGAAGAGCACCATTTCTGTGAAGGCTGTCTGTGACTACCGGCAGATAGAGGTGAGGAGATGGAAGGGGCGCCTCTGACTCCAGAGGAAAGGAAGGGAGAAGCGAAGCCTTCGGTTAGGGTTATGATAGGGAGAGGTCCAATGGTAGAGGGATTTTGTTTTGTTTTGTTTTGTTTTAATTAGAACTTAAACATACTTTAAAAAAAAAAAAACCCGAACTCTACAGTCTTGACCTGCTTCCTGCCTCGGAGATTGGCATCATCATCCGCCCCATATCCTAAGTGGTGTCAGAAATGGTACTTTATACCACCTGAGCAATACCTTTGGCTTTTCCCCTCTTATCCCCTACAACTGGTAGGACTACCAAATCAGTATCAACTTGTAGATAAATATCCCTTAGATGTACTTCTTTCTGTCTTTGCAGCTACTACCCTAAGTTAGACCGTCAGTTTCTTTCACTTGGATCATGGCGTCGCCTCCCCAATTCAGTGCATTCTTTATCTTTCCATCAGCATGATCTTTTTTTTTTTTAAGATTCACTCATTTATTTTAGAGAGAGAGAGAGAGAGCACATGAGCGGGGTAGGGGCAGAGGGAGAGAGAGAAAAAGAGAGAGAGAATCCTCAAGCAGACACCCTGCTGAGAGCAGAGCTCAAAGCAGGGCTCAATCCCAAGACCGCAAGATCATGACCTGAGCTGAAATCAACAGTCGGCCACCCAACCGACTGAGCCACCCAGGTGCCCCCCAGCATGATCTTTTTTTTTTAAGTTATTCCCCTGCTTACATCCTACAATTCCTAAATTCCTTAATGTGGCTTCAAGGTCCTGAATAATCTTTCTCTACCTCTCTAGGCAAGACTGGGTCATTGTCCCTTTCATGCATTCCTTGGTAAATTTCATTTTCCACACAGTATTGTAACTCTATACCCCACCAGAATGTGTGGAATATAGACCATGTTTATCAGTTTACCATTTTACCATTCTTATGTCCAGTGGCCCACCGAAATTCCAGGCACATACTAGGCTCAGTAGATATTTGTAATGCAAAGGAATGAACTTGTCTGGCACTTTTCTGCGTCTCAGTATTTCTGTCTATAAAATAGGGATGATAATGTTGGTTACTTATTTCCCAAGGGGAAGAGTTGATGATTCCAAAATGCTTAAACCTTTTCAGGGATTTGAGTGGGACGACAAGAAGGGAGGAAGAGGGAATATCACAAGAGCAAAGTTATGATTATTCGTGTCCCTTTAACTTTTTTTTTATTATGTTATGTTAATCACCATACATTACATCATTAGTTTTTTTTTTTTTTTTAAAGATTTTATTTATTTATTTGACAGAGAGAGACACAGCGAGAGCAGGAACACAAGCAGGGGGAGTGGCAGAGGGAGAAGCAGGCT